ACCACGGCAGCTGGGCACTGTGCTTCACGCCTGTCATCCTAGCTACTCAGGAGGCTGAGATCTGAGGAAAGTGGCCCTGTGGCTCAAGTGGTAGGGTGTTCGCCTTGAGCTGAAGAGCTGAGGGGCAGCGCCCAGGCCCAGAGTTCAAGACGCACAACTGACAAAAAAGAAAAAGAGATGAGCCAGACACTGGTGGCTCTCACCTGTCTGAGGATCGGGCTCAAAACCTGCCTGGGCAGGAAAGTCTGTGAGATTCTCATCTCCAACTAACCACTAGAAAACCAAAAGTAGCACGATGGCTCAAGTGGTAGAGCACTAGCCTTGAGCAAAAGGAGAGCCCATCCCTGAGTTCAACCCCAAGACCAACAAAAAGAAAAAAAAGAAAAAGCCCCATGAGCGTCCCCCTCCCTACCCCGGGTCCTCCTGCTCTTTAGGCCTGGGTTTTGCTGGTTTGTTTGTTTAGATCTCACACATATCTTGGTTTTGCTTGTTTGTTTAGATCTCACAGATCTTTTATTTATTTTTTTTGGTCGCTGGGGCCTTTAACGGGGGAGGGGGGGGTGGGGGGGGGGGCGGCTATCAATGGGCTCTTCAGCTCAAGGCTAGCACTCTGAGCCACCGCACCACTTCTGGTTTTCTGGTGTTTAGTTAGAGATAAGAGTCTCATGGTCTTTCCTGCCAGGGCTGGCTTTGAACCAAGATCCTCAGATCTCAGCTTCCTAAACAGGATTGCAGGCATGAGCCACTGACACCCGGCTGATCTCACACATTTTTAACCAGTTAAGCCTCAAATCAAAATCCTCCCACAGTTGCCTCCAGCACAGCTTGGATGAAAGGCAAGCCCTGCCTCAACCAGCTTATATGTGGAGGGTCTGGCCAGCTTCCCTCCCCCTCCCTTTTCTGGCCTGAAATCTCAGCCTCCCAATGAGCAGGCCTAACAGGCAGGAGCCACCCAACCCGAGCCTAATTCTTTTTTGTTTTTTTTTGGTCAGTCACGGGGCTTGAACTCTGGGCCTGGGTGCTGTCCCTCAGCTCTTCAGCTCAAGGGGAGCGCTCTACCACTGAGCTACCTTCCCAACCCCAACCCTAATTCTTAATGAAACATTCCTTTCAATGTTTTGGCAACACACTATTTTACAACTTAAAAACAATCCCATTATATTCATAATGCTAAAAAAAAAAATCTCTTGGGTAAGGAAGACAAGGTGTTACTCACAACCAACACCCTTTTATAAAGGAAGCAACTGAAGTTCCAAGAAATTCGACTTAAACTGAGCCTTGACAGAGCCAAATTTGAATCCAAGTGCCCTGCCCAGAAGAACAAGAGAAAGCTATCCTTAGCGTCCGGCTCCAGTTTACATCCTTCGCTTGTAACCAGCCACCGCACCAGACACAAAGGGAGACTTAAAATGGAAAACAGAAAATCCCCAGAGAAGGTGGGGGGTGGGACACCAAAAACGAAGAAAAAGTACTCTGAGCTTCGAGGACACCAGATGATTTCTAAAATCATCACAGTCTGGAAAAAGAAAGTGCCCACCACGGCTGAAACACTGGCGGAAGGCAGGCACCTCTCCACCACCCAGGGGAGAGGCGTCTCTCCCTCCCCTCCCCCCTTCCCCTGAGCCCGCAGGCAACTGCAGGAGAACAACAGAGAAGGAAAAGCTGTGTCAAAATCTGCCTCCCCCACCCCACCCCCTCGGCCCCACAGCCCCAGGGACCCTTCCACAACACACCCTTTGCCATTTAAACCTCACACAAATCAAACGTGCAACAAACGAAAAATATTCTCCGTGTAGCACAAGCATGAACTAGAGAAATTTCAGTTTAAATATTAATAAAAAGCTTTAAAAATAAAGAAAATCCGGTGGTTTGGGAAGAGCCCTTCCCCCCAAGATAAGACGTCCTGGCAAAACTATCCTCCTGCCAAAATTTTTTTTTTCCTTAATGAGAAAAAGAATGGAAATAAAAAAAGGCACATTCTGAGTTAAATAAAAATTGCAACTCACTAGTGACCCTACTTGACCAAACAGCTATTGTCTTTTTCTTTTTTTTGGGGGGGGGGGAGGTTGTGGGGCTCAAATTCTGGGCCTGGGCGCTGTCCTTGAGCTTTTCAGCTCAAGGCTAGCGCTCTACCATTTAAGCCACAGCGCCACTTCAGGTTTTCTGGTGGTTAATTGGAGATAAGTCTCAGTTTCCTGCCCGGGCTGGCTTTGAACAGCAATCCTTAGATCTCAGACTCCAGAGTAGTTAAGATTACAAGGGTGAGTCACTGGTACCTGGCTTCATCTGTTTTTAATACCTGTCATCATCAAAGTAGCAGAAAAAACTGTGTCCTTCTACAAACTTGTATCTCGAAAAGAATCAAGCACACAAAATATCCCACCTTACCAAATGGACAAACTGAAAAAGGCTTTAAGATTTTTCAGGAACTGATTACTGTGTTCCTTAGAATCGGGTGGGTCCCTGCGGGGTCACCATGATGCAGCTTTTTGAACGGTTAAAGCCAAGTACCTCCAACTCAGGGCACTCTCGAAATTCCATCTACTTCAGATGCTCCAAACCAAAGTCTCTATTATATATGGGGAACAAGAGCGGCCTACAGTTGGCAGACTTCACAGACAGTTGAAGGATGACAAAATGCTCCAGAAAAAGGACGGCAGCTGGTGACTTCACTGAGGAAAGAAGCCAAACCAACTTCATAGGACGCCCATGTTGCAAGTGAAAACAATGTGAAGAATGTACAAGGCAATACCAGAAAGTTCCTTAAGGTCACACCACAGACACAGGTCCTCAACAACCACGGCAGTGGTCCACACAGCTATCGTTCCAAAAGGAAACTAGAAGGGTGGAAAGGAACGTCCTCTTCTGAGCCCCTCTGCAAACCTCTCGGGAAGCTGGTAGCGCCACCAAGGGAACTCCACTAGAACACTGGCCTCCGCTGTGTTCGGTGAGAAGAACGGAAGACGCAGGGCGGAGAAGGCTGGTAGGAAGGCACGAGTTCAAGACACTTGGGGGTGAGGAAGTCCACAGAGTAACCATCCGGGAGCAACTGAAAACTAATTCCCAGCTCAATAGGTTCTAAATAAAGTACTCTGAACTCTGCGGCAAAGGCTAGGATGTAAAGTCGTCTGGTCATCTAAAACCCCTTGAAGAGTGGAGCGCTTTGCAGGGCTCAGGCAGGGGGACAGGCCCTCTGCCCCCTGAGGCCACCTGCCCCAGGTACAAAGTGTGACTTCAGAGCTCTCCCCGGGCATTGCAACACTCGGGTTAACCCCTTACTGCCCAAACCCACGCTGCGGAGAAGCCCAGAAGCTCCTGAAGGAAGAGGCCTAAGGCAGGGAGGGCTTCCGAGGGACCGGGCCACCACCAAGTGGAAACAGACAGAGAGGGGTAAAGGGAGCTCCTTGAGGAACCGGGGTGTGGGCAGAGGGAAAACTCGGGGCCGATAAACTAGGTGTGGACCTCATAGGGTTTGCACCAGGAATGTAGACATCACCTGGTTCAGAAGAAAATTCGGGCCACATGTTAAAAACGCCCCTTCCTACTACTCTCAAGTGGGAAAAGCTGACCCGAAAAGGCTCCCATGGTTTACGCCTGTAATCCCAGCCACCCGAGAGCCTGAGATCAGCGGATCAGAGAACCAGCAGGGGCAGGAAAGGCTGCAGCGGAGGTGTGTCACGGTCCTAGAGTGCCAGCCTGGAGCGGAGAAAGCCCCGAAACAGCCCCCAGGCCCGGAGTTCAAGCCCCAGTCCCAACACCCGGTCCCTGCAGCTGGGATCCCCCCAGCTCAGCCCCCAGCCCAGCCCCAGGCCCCAGGCCCCAGCAGCTGAGATCCCCTCAGCCCCAGCCCCCAGCCCAGCCCCCAGCAGCTGGTATCCCCCCAGCACCAGCCCCAGTCCCCAGCCCAGCCCCAGCCCCAGTCCCCAACAGTTGGGATCCCCCCAGCCCCAGCCCCCTGCAGATGGGATACCCCCCTAGCCCCCAGCCCCCTGCAGATAGGATCCCAGCCCCAGGCCCCAGCCCCCAGCAGCTGGTATCCCCCCAGCACCAGCCCCAGTCCCCAGCCCCAGTGCCCAACAGTTGGGATCCCCCCAGCCCCCAGCCCCAGCCCCCTGCAGCTGGGATTCCCCCCCCAGCCCCCAGACCCCAGCCCCCTGCAGCTGGGATTTCCCCCCCCCCAGCCCCAGCCCCCAGCCCCAGCCCCCTGCAGCTGGGATCCCCCCAGCCCCAGCCCCAGCCCCCTACAGATGGGATCCCCCCCCTAGCCCCCAGCCCCCAGCCCCCTGCAGCTGGGATCCCCTCAGCCCCAGCCCCCAGCCCAGCCCCAGCCCCCTGCAGATAGGATCCCAGCCCCAGGCCCCAGGCCCCAGCAGCTGGGATACCCCCAGCCCCCAGCCCCCAGCCCCCTGCAGCTGGGATCCCCCCAGCCCCCAGCCCCCTGCAGCTGGGATCCCCCCTCAGCCCCCAGCCCCCAGCCCCCTGCAGCTGGGATCCCCCCAGCCCCAGCCCCGCCAGCGCGGCCTCCGGGAATCGGCCCTCCAGCGGCTGCCGCTCCCCGCCCCGGGGCCAGGGCGGACGCGTGCGGGGCGCTCGGCCCGGCGCGCCCGGGACACCCGGCGGGGACCCCGCCGCCGCCGCGGGCCACGAGGCCGGGCCCCCCCCAGGCGCGGGGCTGGGCGCGGGGCCCCGCACGCGGTCCTCGCCGCCGCGCCCGGGACGGTGACAGCCAGGCCGCGGCCGGGCCCCGCGGCGCCGCGCCCCACGCGGGGGACCGGGCGCCCCGCCCCGCGCTGCGGCGGGCACGGAGCCCTCGGCGCCCGCCCCGGCCGGACAAAGCCGGGCGCCCGGGCGAGTCCCGGCCCGGACCCTGGCCTTGGCCCCCAGCCGGCCGGGTCCCGGGACGCCCGGGCGCCCGGCGGACCCAGACAGGGGCGCCCCGCCCTGCCCGGGGACCCGCCGGACACCGGACCCGCCCGGCCCGGGGACTCCCGCCGCCTCACCTCGCGCCTCCGGCTCGGCCTGCTCGCTCCGGCCCTGGGCGCCGGCACCGCGGCGGCCGCCTCAACAATGGAGCCCCGGGGCGGGGCCCTGCGCCGCTCGCCGAGCCGCCCTCCGCCGGGATCCGCGCGGAGATGCGCCCGGCGCCGGGCCGCGGCCGGAGGACACTGCGCAGGCGCGCGCCGGGCCCCGCCCGCCAGGATCGCCCCGCCCCTCCCGCCGCCGGCCACGCCCCCCGGCCAATGGGAGAGGGGCTGCCCGGAGGGGGCGGGACCTGGGGAAACAAAGGGAGGTTGGGCGGGGCCGCGGCGGGGGGCGCGGACCCGCGGGGAGCTGGGGTGCGGGTGGCCGGATCCGGGGCCCCGGACTGCCTGGCGGCACGTGACCCCCGCCTGGGCTTCGCAGCCAGGGCTCGTTCCACACCCAGACCCAGGTTCGTAGGGCTGAGAGCCAGACGCAGGCCTGCTTTACCGGGAGGGAAACTGAGGCTCGAGGCGTGACTCTCCCACGGCCCGACCGGACCGGCCGCGAGCCGGTCGTCCTTGGGGCGCCTAGGAAGCCAGTGACCCGCCCTGCCGGCCCTCCACCCGCCCTGGAGCCCCCTGGAGATGTCTGGGCTGAGTCTCCCTCCCCCCAGCTATTGCCCTGGCCACGTCCCCCCCCTCCCAGGGAGGGGCGGCACCTGCCTCCACCCCCCACCCTCCCACCCTCCCACCCCGACGCCCCAGGGGCCACTGGAAGCTGGAGCCAGTCCACCCTTCCCTTTTTCTTTTGCCAGTCCTGGGGTTTGAACTGCAGGCCTGGGCACAGTCCTTGGGCTTCTTTGCTCAAGGCCAGTGCTCTACTACTTGAGCCACAGCGCCACTTCCAGCTTTCTTGGTGGTTACTTGGAGTCTCAGGGAGGCTGGGAAGGTGGCTCAGTGGTAGAGTGCTTGCCTAGCACGCATGAAGCCCTGGGTTCGATTCCTCAGCACCACATACACAGAAAAAGCCAGACATGGCGCTGTGGTTCAAGTGGCAGAGCGCTAGCCTTGAGCACAGAGAGGCAAAAAAAGTCTCGCAGAAGCTTTCCTGCCCAGGCTGGCTTTGAACCAGACCCTCGGGTCTCAGCCTGCTGAGTAGCTAGGATTCTAAATATGAACCACCAGCACCAAGCCTGCTTCCTTTTTATTTATCCCCTCCCAAGAAATCTCAGTCTCCCTTGGGCTTCAAACACTATCTACATTATGTGAGCATCTGCTTCAAATCCCTTCCTACCCCCTACTGCCTTCCAGGAGGCAGCTCAACCTCCTCCATCCCAGAAGGCTTTGCGTTCCACACCAGACCTGCTCCTCCACATTCCTCACCTCTCCGTCCAGGTCAGGTTGACAAGAACGTAGACTTACACGACCCTAGCTGCACACACCACACCAGAGAGCGTGCACCTGCGGCCCCTGCAAGCCAGCTGCTGGACAGGGAGCCGGCCCATCTGTGAAGACTAGAGTTGAGGACAGCCCTCAGTGGGCAGCCCACCTCCCATCACCCCCCCCCCCGGGGGAGCCCCCAGTGGGCGCCCACCTCCTGTCATGCCCATGCAAGGAAATGAACTCTGCCAACAACCTGAAAAGTTGGAAACTAGATTCTTCCCTAAGTCAAGCTTCAGAGGAGAGCACAGCCCAGCCCAGCACAGCACACACAGAGTGGCTTTGGCAAGGCCCTAAATAGAGGATCTAGCTAAATATACTAAAGTTCTGATGATAGAGGAAGACATGTGCCGAGGGACATGTGGGCTGTTATTGTTATTATTATTACTGTTCTTGTTGTTGTTTTGGTGGTCCTGGGCTGGAGCTCAGGCCTGGTTCTTCCTAGGCAGTTACTCTACCTCGTGAGTCATGCCCCCAGCCCTTTGTGCTCTATTTTTGGGATGGGGTTTCACTTTTTCCCCAGCCTACCCTTGAACCAGGATCCTCTCCATCTCAGCCTTGTGAGCAGACAGGACGGCAGGCATGAACCACTGAGCCTGGCTTGGTGCCTGGCCGCTCTCAGCCCCTAAGATTGTGGGCATTCATTAGAAGCAAGAAGCAGCAGGTATGGAACCTTTTCTCCCGTACCCACTCACGAATCCTACGCTTCTTCCTGGCATTCATCGCGATGCTCCCTGCTCATTTAAAGCTCCCCTGTCTTCCTGTGCACAGGAAGGCCATGAGAGAGCAGGAAGGAACAAACTGGCTGGCTCCTGGCAGAGCTCCACAGGTCCTGGAGGGCGAATGGAGGGCGGGAGAAGCAGAAGGGCCAGCTCGGCGCGCCACTTCCATCACAGAGAGCCTCCCTGCCTCCTTGCCGGCCCAGACTCCCTCTTCAGGGCTGGCCTGGGAGGGAGACGAAGTGGAAGGTGACGCACAGAGGGCTCTCGCCGCCCTGTGCCGGCGGCTTTGAACCGGGCCACCAGAGCTCACAGCCCATTCTCCAGGAACTTTGCAAGCTGACCGCTAAACAGACTCATTCCTCAAATATTACATGACAAAAACGTGCTGTTTTACACATATGTATTTATATTTAAGACAATTGAATGCATCATCCCCTAGTGGTTTGCGATGGCTTTCTCCTCTATGCCGCTGCCTCAGAGGGTCGAAGCCCCGGGTAGGGCCGCTGCCAGCCTCTCTTCTCCTGTCTGCAGTCAGCAGGGTCAACATGGCGGCTTACAACCAGACACAGGGGAGGAGGTAGACCACTAAACTGGCAAGTGCTAGAAATCAGAACTCTCCCCGTTTTTCCCAGGCCCCAAGTGGCAAATTACTCCCAAGATAGCAGTAGCTGAAGATTCCTGGCATAGCCCTGGTGTCTAGGGAGGATGCCTCTCTCTTGGGAAAGAAACACAGCTGGTGTCTTTCTCGGCAGCTGGGAGCACCACCTCAAGCACATGTGTGATGGCTGGAGTTGCAGCAGCGACTGCGCAGCCACGAGGAAGAGGGAGAGGAGTTCCAACTCTTCGTATTTATCAGACTTTTCAGGTGGGGAAAAAAACCAACTACATAAAGGAGAAAAGGTTTATCCTGGCTCATTGCTTAAGTCCTTGCTCCCGTGATGCCATGCTTGCGGTCCTGTGATGAGGAGCAAGGCCGTCCTCCAACAGTGAGTAGAAGCAGAGAGAAATTGGAAGGAAGTGGAACCTTGCGCAACCCTTGCATACAGGATCCGTGCGCTCGCCGCAGCCTGGCCCCTCGGAGGTGTGCTGGCGGCGCTCACACATGTTGTAATACACGACTTAGCCCATCTCTCAAACCATCCCAGCAAGGCACGAGTTCTCCTCTGCGGAACCTGGAAAGTTCTAGAAAACTCACATGAGACTCATCTTCTCCCCACAGCCCAACAGCTGTGGGTGGAGTGCCACACTTCGGGACCAGAGGCAGCCGCGTTGGCCGGGCCCCTTGTGGAGGCTCTGGTCTGATACTGAGAGGGACCGGTAGTTGAAGTTGGGGTTCAACACCCGCCCAGATTTCCCCCTGGGTGCTCAAGGAAGCGCCCAGTCCTGAGCGGGGAATACGCCAAAGCCCCGCTCAGTCCCGAGACCCCCGCGGTGCGGGCTCCCGGACCCGGGACCCGGAATCGGGAATCCACGGCACGCGGGTGCTCGAGGGAGCTCCAGGCCCGGTTTAGGAAGTGACGTCAGCTCACCAGGGCGACCCGGGCTCCCGGCTGCAGAGTGCGTGGCCCCCGCCGCACACCTTCCCCCGTGGACCGGCCACGTGTTGCAGCTGGTTCTTTCTAAAATACAGGGTTGGTAGCCACGGGGAGTCTTCAACAGGCCGGCCCCAGTGGCGAAATGTAGGCGTCCTGCTTTCCTCCAGAAAGGACCCTGTCTCCCCAGCTCCGCGTGCTCCTCGCAGGCCGCTGGCAGGATCTGCGTCCGTCCCCGGGAAGGTGGAGAAGCCGGGGGCGCGGGTGGCAGCCGGGCCCGGAGCTCAGCTCACTTGGGCAGCGGCACCATCGCCGAGCACCTGCTGCGCTCAAAAGGAACACGGCTTGGAGCCCAGCGCCGGCGGCTCACACCTGTCATCCTAGCTACTCAGAAGGCTGAGATCTGAGGATCGCGGTTCAAAGCCAGCCCGGGCAGGAAAGTCCGTGGGACTCTTCTCTCCAATGAACCACCAGAAAACCGGAAGTGGCGCGGTGGCTCAAGCTGTAGAGCGAGCGCTCGCCTTGAGCAAAGAAAGGGAGAGGAAGGGTTCGTGCTGCTGGTCACGTTTTAGAGCAGGCATGTAATCTCCTAACCCGGAAACCAGAGTTTAGCATCCAGACGCGGTCTCCCGTGGCCACGTGTCAGGTCCAGCCGCTGACCATCGCGTGCACTGGAAAGAGTCAGTAACTAAGAGTTACCGAGAGTTACCTGGCACCAGGTACGAGCGCTGCTGCCGGCCCGGCCTCTGCGAAGGCACAGGCGTGAGCTGTGGGTTTGAATAGACAAAGAATTTGGGCAGGGATGGAAGATGCCGATGTGACGCGGTCCTGCGTGAGGGACGGCCTGGATTGGGTATTTCAGGCCTGGTTTGGGGAAGATGCCGTAGAAGGTACTATGGCTGCCACCGCCGGTCAGGACCGCAAGTTGCGGTTCCCAACCAGTGCCTGACCTGAGAGGGCTGGGGAGTTCCTCAGGGTGACCCCCGCCCCAAAGGTCATCTTCAGCCTCGCCCTTCCTGGACTGCAGGGCGACTGAGGGGTGAATGGCTCGGCGCTGAGAACACGTCTGTACGCGCCTCCCGCCACACCTGCAGCACTTGGCCAGACGGGTGCCCGGGCGGGGAGCGGCGTCGGGGATGACAGTGGAGATGGGGTCGGCCGTCCACGGCTAAGCCGGGAACCAGCCTGGGCCCCACGTCAGCGCCCCGCTCCGCGGCGGCCCGAAGCCGTGGGGACCCGGCGAGGGTTCCATTGTGTCCTGCGTGGCGGGAGCTGCTCTGCCCCCACGCTGACGAGAAGAAATCCAACCGCACGGCATCTGTCTGTGAGCCCGGCCGGAGCCTCCGCCGGGCCCGGGGACGCACAGCTGGGCTCGTAGAGAGAACCTCTGGCGATG